GGAAGAGAGAGGGAGAGAGAGGGAGAGGGAGGGAGAGAGAGGGAGAGAGAGGGAGAGAGAAAGAGAGAGAGAGAAAGAGAGAGAGAGAGGGAGAGGGAGAGAGAGGGAGAGGGAGAGGGAGAGAGAGGGAGAGGGAGGGAGAGGGAGAGGAAGAGAGAGGGAGAGAAAGGGAGAGAGGGGGAGAGGGAGGGAGAGGGAGAGAGAGAGGGGGAGAGAGGGAGAGAGGGAGAGGGAGAGCCAGAGAGAAGACAGCCTCAGGGCTATAGGGGATCTTCAGCAGTTTGGAGCTGCCTCTCCCGCTGTGGGTTAAAGAGTTAGCTTTTTGAAACCTGTCCTTGAATATACTTGGTGAAGACGCCTCCTCAGCCTATTCCTGGATCTCATTCACTCTTTCTTCCTTCCCTCTCTGCTCTGTCCCTACTGGAAACAAGGAAAAAATGGGCCTATAACGGGCGCCCCACAGTGCACTGAGCGCTGGTCCTGGAGTCAGGAAGACCCGAGTTCAAATCCAGCAGGAAGCTCAGACTGGGGGCAGGGCTATTGACAAGGGGCAGTGTTGGTGCCACTGATACTAAATTTATTATATCCTTAAAAGCCACCATTCAGAACAGATTCCCTGGCTCTGTGCCCATCCTCCTGCTCCATTCTTTTATCAGAACACGTTTGTGATTGTTGCCATTTGCCAAGTTCTTATTATTAAAATGAAAAAGATTTTTAAAAGATTTATAAGTCACTTTACACATACTTTTTCATTTGATCCTCAATACAACTCTATGAGGAAACATTGTGGGTATAATTATCCATATTTTGCAGATGAAGAAACTGAGGCAGAGAGCAGTAAACCAGCCTGGCCAGCATCACCCAGCATGACGTCACACAGCTAAGAAGTGACAGGGACGGGATTTCAACCCGGCTTCTCCTGGCCCCAAACCTTTCCCAACACCAGCCACCCACCAGGTGCTAAGGACCTACTATGTGTCAGTCTCTGTGCTAAGCACGGCAGATCCAGATGCCAAAGGAGGCAGGCCCTGCCCTCCAGGACCTTACATTCCATTGGGGGAAACGCCACATCCACAAGTCAGTCTAACGGCTCATTCCTCCCTAAGCCTCCAGCGAACGCTTCCGTGATTCCACAAGCCTTTCAAACATCACAACCACAGGAGGCCTCCAATCTCCAGCCTCCATGCTTTGGTTCATTCCCTGCCTATCCCCCACCTTGCCATCCATCACTCCCTTCACACTTGGCTCCAAATTCACCTCCTCCAGAAGGCCATCCCTGATTAACTGTCTCAATGGATGGTTACCGTCCTCGACGTATGAACAGCAGGTGTCAGCCCACCGCCTACCCCAGATACCGCACTCGCGACCAGATAATCCTCGGCCTCTGCTCCCCACGGCCTCGGTGGCGACCACCCGTCTGGGCCGCTCTGGGTCCTCCTTACCCTTTGGTGGGGTCCAGGGCCAAGGACCGGGGGTTGTCGAGATCCTTCCACACCAGCACCTGTCTGTGCTGCCCATCCAGGCGAGCCACCTCGATGCGATTGGTGCCCGTGTCTGCCCAGTAGAGGTTTCTGCCCATCCAGTCCACGGCCATGCCCTCGGGGTAATCCAGGCCAAACTCTATCACATGCTCCACAGAGCTCCCGTTCATATAGGCCCGGCTGATGGTCTGCAGGGGCAGAGAGAGAAAACAATTCCTTCCTGGACGAGCACAGAGCAAACCGTGGAGTCCAAGAGAAAGAGAGAGAGAGGGAGGGGTCCACGGAAACATTCACGAGGCTCAGGGAAGGCCACCAGAGAACTAAGGCAGCCCCGTTTTTATGGCCAAAGTACAGGAGGAAAAGGCGACTTTTGGCCTCTGAGAGATACTCAAGCTCCAGTCACCTTCTCTGTGTCCCGGACCCCTTGGTCAGGTCTGGGGGAGCCGAGGGGGCCTTCCCAGAATCCTATTGTGAAATGCGCAAAGCAAAAGAGCCAGGCCTTGAACTATGGCTATCAACTAAAACTAGACTGGAGCCCGGACTAGAAGCCCTGGGACGGGCTCAAGGACTCAGAGTCGGAAGCGATCTTGGAGGCAGGCCAGCAGCCTCTTCATTTTACGGACGATGAAACTAAAGACCAAAGATGGAAAGTGACTTGCCTAAGGTCATACAGTGATAACTGTCTAAGGCAGGATTCAAACCCAGATCTTTGAGACTCCAAGCCCAGAAGTCTATCCACTATACCTCAACATCTCCATGCTTCTTAACCCACGTGCAGCCCTCAAGTTTACCTTTGACGGTCCCTGTGAAGGTCATGCTAACCCATGACATTCGGGGGAAGCAGCAGGAGCAGGTGGGAGCAGACGGGCTGAACATTTAAGAGGAAAAATGGTTTTTCTGCACCCTGAAGCAATTCGAAGAAGTGTTTATAACAGGGTTTCTTTGCCTGGGGTCCGTGACCTTTTTTTTTAATTCTGATCATTTTATCTCAATCTAATTGGCTTCCCTTGTCGCCTCTATTTTATTTAAGGCATTTAAAAACGTGGTTCTGAGAAAGGGTCCCTGGGCTTCCCTAGACCTCTGCCCATGGGGTCCGGGTCACAAAAATTCGTGAAGAAGCCCTGATCTGAAGGCAGCTCATTCAAGATCAAGTCTAGCTGGGTGGGCTGAAGCCACGTGAGTGACTCAGCAGGGTCGAACCCCTCATTGGCCCCCCAATCCTACACCTCACAGCCTCTCCCAGGCCCCACGAGCCCGCCCTACCCAAGCCTGGGCTGAGCCTTCGCGGCAGGAGCCTGCAGGCCGCCATACCTTCAGGCTAACATCGGTCCAGTAGATGTGGTTGTTGGAGACGTCAAAGTCCAGGGCGGAGGCCTCCTTGACGCCGGTCAGGGGGATGGCCACATCATTGTTGTTCGTCTCCAGGGAGATCCGGTGGATGGCGGCTCGGCTCGTGAAGACCAGGAAGGCTTCGGGGATGATGCAGGTCTGCAGGTCGTTCAGCAGCTCGAGCCCGATGGGGCAGCCGCACTTGGTCGCGTGGGGCGTAAAGAAGCAAAGGTGGCTGCAGCCCCCGTTCTTCTCCGCGCACGGATTAGTACCTGAAAGCGAACGTCCGGCCTCTAAGCCCAGGGCGCCGACAAAGAAACCCCACCGCAGGCTCGAGGACGCATGGGGGGCACTGAGGGTGACGGAGTCAGGGCAGTGTAGGGGACAGGAAAGAGCGCTTCTGCCTGGGGGCTGAGTACTGGGGCTCCAACCCGGCCCACTCGATGTTCTGGGCCCCTCCTGGCTCAGGTGCTCTGTGTTCTATGCTCTAAAGCCGCTCCGGTTCAGGTGTTCTATGTTCTAAGGCCCCTCCCGGCTCAGGTGTTCTATGTTCTATGGCGTCTCTCAGCTCAGGTGTTCTATGTTCTAAGGCCCCTTCCAGCTCAAATGTTTTATGTTCTAAGGCTCCCTCCCAGCTCAGGTGTTCTATGCTCCAAGGCCCCTCCTGGCTCAGGTGTTCTATGCTCCAAGGTCCCTCCTGGCTCAGGTGTTCTATGTTCTAAGGCCCCTCCCAGCTTAGGTGTTTTGTGTTCTAAGGCCCCTCCTGGCTCAGGTGTTCTATGCTCCAAGCCCCTTTCCAGCTCAGATGTTTTATGTTCTGAGGCCCCTCCCAGTTCAGGTGTTCTATGTTCTAAGGCCCCTCCCAGCTCAGGT